AGACAATGTCGTGGAGTAGTTACACGTTTGTGCGTTTGTCATTTTACATCAAACAAGCTATTGGAGCTGCTGCTGTGTTATCACAAAGCTTGGATAATTACATAATGTGTATTTCATTAGCGTGTACTTACAATGGGTTGTTTAACACATATAGTTTGTATATAGCTATCCATTAAACAATAATATTGACACCAGCACCCAAATGCATTTGGCATAACATGGATAAACAGAAAGTGTTTAAATGTCGGTAAAACATATCAGCTAATTGGAGTTTACACGTCCAAAAATTGTATTACTGGTTACGTAATATATACAAATGTATTGGCAGACTTTCCTGCAATTCCGCTTAATTTACGGATTTTCCCAACAGTGATCGTATCTCGAACACGAAGAAAGATTTTTTGTGCTCATCAGTTTTGTTTTACGATTTCTCTTCAAGATTCTAATTCAATGAGATTATTACGTAATGTATTGTATGGCCCATAGAAGAGTAGACTGTAGATAGCATGAGTTCCGTTCACCAATGGCACCTGTTTATACTAAGTGTAGGCCTTGCTTTTGCTCGACACCTCTCCAGCACAATATATCTCCAGTACGGCCAGGCCACATAAAACAATATGTGCGTTTTACAGTAGTATCCTTGAATTCCACATTTGGTTCGGTTTCTTTTTGTTTTACGTCCTATTAACAGCTATGGTAATTTAAGGACGTGCCATGTTTTGGTGTTGTAGGAATGCCGGAGTTCCCAGAGAAAAACCACCGACCTACGGCCAGTACCTGGCGACTGCCCCACGTATGCCTCAATCCCGCAACCCAGTGATGGAGAGGTAGTGGTACATGTAGCTGAATGTCAGACGCCTTAAACACTTCGTCACCGCGGCCCCTGACTACCACATGCACGTGTTGTAAATACGTAATTAGTCCCTGTTATTATTTATGATGAAGAGATATTGTATTTTATAACCTATTATGCTTGAACTAATGTTACAGTTTTTGTCAGGAAACAATGTGTGGAACTAAGCACAATTTTGTTTAGCCTCTCTTAAGCTCTTTTGACCACCTAACACTGCTTGGGATGTACAATGTAATGTATAAATATTTGAATTTATAACTGAATATTAACTTATCCGTGGAGTGTCTTCATAACATATCTATATACGTGTATCAGTAACGTCATTGTGTTGATTTCTAATATTTATTCTTAGAGTTGTTCGAATTTGCACTACATTTTGTGGCGACTTTACGCAAGTGCATCTGAAGATCTATCCGCATCAGAACGTGCATGGCTAATTAAAAGAAATCCGTTTCACTCACAATTGTTTTGCTTGTTAACAGTAATCTTACTTTTGCTTTCGATGAAACTAAGAACAGATTGGCGGGGATAGTTCCGTTGACTACGTAGCTCAATCGGTTACAGAGATGGTATAACGACCTGAAGTTCGGGGTTCCAATCCCGGTGTAGTCCTGCTGCATTTTTGTTAATTACACGAGTAACACCATGTTATCATAAACATTTCATGTACATGGGCTAAAATACCACCAAGCCTACTATTTTCCCACAAATTTCTTTCTATCGCTGCATTTTTCGATAAAGTTCGAGCTCCGCTTTGTTGTATTGCACAAAATGCATCTTAATTGCAGCCGATATAAAATCATCCCTAGTGTGAAAACCTATAAAGAGTACATTTCAAAAGAACCCCATTTTGAATATATACCATGATGATACCAGTATATATAAATCATAAATCTATAGTATCATATCAGTATATATATACCATGATGATACCAGTATATATAAATCATAAATCTATAGTATCGTATCAGTATATATACCCTGATGATACCAGTATATATAAATCATTAATATATAGTATCATATCAGTATATATACCATGATGATACCAGTATATATACATCATGAATATATAGTATCATATCAGTATATTTATCATGATGATACCAGTATATATTCATCATAAATATATAGTATCATATCAGTATATATACCATGATGATACCAGTATATACACATCATAAATATATAATATCATATCAGTATATATACCATGATGATACCAGTATATACACATCATGAATATATAGTATCATATCAGTATATTCATCATGATGATACCAGTATATATTCATCATAAATATATAGTATCATATCAGTATATATACCATGATGATACCAGTATATATAGATCATAAATCTATAGTATCGTATCAGTGTATATATACCCTGATGGTATCAGTATATATCAATCATAAATCTATAGTATCATATCAGTATATATATACCATGATGATACCAGTATAAATAAATCATAAATCTATAGTATTGTATCAGTATATATATACCATGATGATACCAGTATAAATAAATCATCAATATATAGTATCATATCAGTATATATATACCATGATGATATCAGTATATATCAATCATAAATCTATAGCATTGTATCAGTGTATATATACCATGATGATACCAGTATAAATAAATCATAAATCTATAGTATTGTATCAGTATATATATACCATGACGATACCAGTATGTATAAATCATTAATATATAGTATCATATCAGTATATATACCATGATGATACTAGTATATATACATCATAAATATATAGTATCATATCAGTATATATACCATTATGATACCAGTATATATAGATAATAAATATATAGTATCATATCAGTATATATACCATGATGATACCAGTATATATTCATCATAAATATATAGTATCATATCAGTATATATATATATATATATATATATATATATATATACCATGATGATACCAGTATATATTCATCATAAATATATAGTATCATATCAGTATATATACCATTATGATACCAGTATATATAGATCATAAATATATAGTATCATATCAGTATATATATATATATATATATATATATATATACCATGATGATACCAGTATATATAAATCATAAATCTATAGTATCATAGTATATATATACCATGATGATACCAGTATATATAAATCATTAATATATAGTATCGTATCAGTGTATATATACATTGATGATACCAGTATATATAAATCATAAATATATAGTTTCATATCAGTATATATATACCATGACGATACCAGTATATATAAATCAATAATATATAGTATCATATCAGTATATATTTATACCATGACAATACCAGTATATATAAATCAGTAATATATAGTATCATATCAGTATATATACCATGATGATACCAGTCTATATAAATCATTAATATATAGTTTCATATCAGTATATATATACCATGATGATACCAGTATATATAAATCATAAATATGTAGTATCATATTAGTATGTACATTGTATATATCATAATGATACCAGTATATATATACCATGATGATATCAGTATATATAAATCATAAATATATAGTATCATATCAGTATATATACCATGATGATACCAGTATATATAAATCATAAATTTATAGTATCATAACAGTATATATAAATCATAAATCTATAGTATTGTATCAGTGTATATATTCTATGATGATATCAGTATATATAGATCGTAAAGATATAGTATCATATCAGTATATATACCATGATGATACCAGTATATAAATCATAAATATATATAATGTAATATCAGTATATATATCATGATGATACTATTATATAAAGGTTTTGTATACAGCTCATAGTAGTATCTCTCTATATATATATTGATGAAACCAGTATATAACTGTTTTATATACAGTATCGTAACAGTATTTATATTTTGATGATACCAGTATCTTTATATAACATGTTAATGATACCAGTATCAATACTTTGGCAATACTAGTATGTAAATGTGTCTATAACGATACCTTATATGTATTGCATGAGAATACCAGTATCCTAATGTGATATATATACATGGTATGATGATACGGGTACCTATATGTAACATAAATATTACCAGTATCTAAATTAGGCTCATACCGATATCTTAATGTTATTCATAATATACTAGTAGTTTTAATACGGTGATATACATATATTTATGGCAAAATGGTTATCTTTGTTATATATGATACACGTATTTATAGTAATATGATACTAGCATTTATTATGATAATGCCGATATCGAAATTTTATAATATGATGCTAGTATTTTAATGTTATTCATAATGATGCTAGTATTTTAATGTTATAATAGGATATAAGTATTTTAATGTTATAATATGATACTAGTATTTTAATGTTATGATATGATACTAGTATTTCAATGTTATAATATGATACTAGTATTTTAACGTTATAATATGATACTAGTATTTTAATGTTAAAATATGATACTAGTATTTTAATGTTATAATATGATACTAGTATTTCAATGTTATAATATGATTATAGTATCTCATATCTATATTGCGATAATGTCCGTTTCTTAATGTTATACACATTATACCAGTATTTCTATGTCTCCTTAATTTTACTAATGATATATATTGATAATGCCTGTATCTCAATGTTTCCTACAGTTTACTAATGGTACAACATGATAATGCCTGTATCTTGATGTTATACATATGCTATGGGGTACATGTATCTTAGTTTTTCTAGCGACGAATTCATTAATACAAAGGGAACAAGTGTTTTACGGACATCCGTTGCTACTCATCTAAATATACCAAAATACGTCACTCCTCTGATCTTTGTCGTGATGTACAATAAACACATCTCCAGTTACATACATTACGTACATACACGAGTAAGGTACTCACCTCAGTGCCTCCTCCTGAGAGTAACGTTAATTAGTAATAAGTACCATTCACGCGCTCATGCACGTTTGTCGGAAAACACTACTTATCACGTGCTGTAGGTTATATGTGCATCGTCACCACTTAACCTACTTCATACCTTGGCCTGTTTCAATGTCTCAAAGACAGATAATTACAGTCTACATTGGCGCATATTTGTGTATAACGGATTTCCATTAATGCATTTTACTTACCCAGTGTATTTACGGTCGTACTGTCGAACCTAATTAATTGGTAAACTACGTGGGTGGTCCAAGAATAATGTCTCCAAGTGGCTTTTTACGTCTTGGTCCTAAAGTAAACCGAAGTAGAGCACCTCACATTTAAGACAGATACGCATGAATGCCCGTTGTCAACTTGCAGGTTCCGACTTTAATCTCCTGTTGACGGAATAATAAGTTATAGCGTCCAACACACGTACACAACAAAATGATAAATCGTCACCACACTGACGGTTGCTGCAATATAGGTGTTATCTACTCCTAAATTGATGTCGCACAGATATTTTAACACGAATTCGTTATAGGTACTAAAATCAAAAATTCTTATCAGATCATTGATTTCTAATGATGTTTCACATTCGTTGAATTACGTTAGGAAGAACAATTCTCATCCAGGCGAATCCTTCTCCAATGATTCCCTTCGCCTTACTGCAAGAACCAAACTGAACACATTAGCTTGAATCTATCAAAGATAATAACACGAAGACGAATATCTGTACAGCGAGTCGTACAAGCGTCTGCTCCGAGACAGCAGACTTCACCATAGCGATGGGTATAACTCTGGCAACTTATGACGTAAGCGAAGGCATTTGGGAGACTGAACCACCATCATATAGCGAGAGGAGAAACAATGCGCTGATACCTCGCTACTGTGTGCACGGCTACTACTACGAACGACTTTACTGACTGCCTGACATCTCTGTATGTCGACAGAACAACTTTTCCGTCACAGTGTACGTATGGTAATATCCATATGCTGAGTTCATAGATATACAAAGCTTTACTGGCGTTGTCAAGACTAACAGTGTACGATTGCCGATGAAAAGATTCCCTCTCACAATGTTAAAGTATAATATCCATTACGGGTTCAGACATACACTGTTTGCCGATTGCAGTTTTCTGGTCCTAGGGGTCAATGATAAGGAAACTTAAATATGAATATGTTTTTCTATTACAGCTGGCCTGTACATATCGTATGATATCGAAAAGGAAAAATGTTAAGCATCCTACTTGAATAAATCTCCGATATTTAAAGGCCAAATGGAAAGTGACTTCCTATTGGCATTGATCACATATCTGAAAATGGTCATGACCATATTTGAGCAGAATATATTGTAGTATGTGTGCCATCAGCACTGTACATCAGCAACATCCACGGAATTAATGAAATGCAGCGAAAACTAATTTGCGTTAGTAAAATTGTTATACCAAATTTAAATCGATCGGTTGTAATACATTAAATTATGTATATATGCCATGATGTTGATAATATCAGTGTTTATTGCAAGCGTAATAGACAACCAGGCGGATTTGAAAAGTTTTATCTCGCATTCCTAAATTACAAGCGACACACGTGTTGATGATATCAACGGTCAAAACGTCCCAATCATACAGGTGGATAGTATCCATAGACAGGTTACCATGCAGCACTAGTGGTTATCAATGGGCTTGTGTATGAGCTGTACATGTATATATCCCGTCTATGGTGTATTTGTTCATTCATAAAATCACCAATGATATATTATGTGGTTAAATGTGGTTATATCTGTTCGGCATGTCTGCTCCAATGTAAAAAATGAAAATTGGAAGAGATAGTTTCATCGACTAGTAAAGCGATTATGAAAGTATAAGCTATCTTCTGTACTATTGCATATCCTGTTATCAGATATCTCAATAACTAATACAATCCAAGTGCATTGTCCGTTGACCGGTTGTCTGTTTGTTGATATTCCATCCAGGTTTTTACAATCACGGGTGTCCAGTATATAGCTGTATATAACGTTTTTAAATTCAATGTCTTGTTATCCGGGCGAGGCGAAGCGTCGTTATTTAGCTTAGCAAGCATCACTGTCGTGTGTGTCTCATATCGTTGCCTTATGGTGTTACAGAAAGCTTATCACCAATCCTCAAAACCAGTTTCTATCTGTTTGTGCGCATACGTGTAGATGTGTGGGTGTGTACTGTGTAGCTCTGTCTTCTTCAACGACTGCATCTTGGGTGCTATTGTTGTCCTAGAAATTACCATGTCGGGAATCAAAGCCGATCGAACAGTGAGCATAATAGCAATGCCTGGAGTCTATAATACTCAGGTGACAGTGAAGAGCGGTCTATTCTACCAGACTTTTACCTCTCTATCTGTGTGATCCGTTAGAAATAACCAAACAAATGTATATAGCCGATCCAAAATACAACGATTATGACGAAGGCACATTAAAAATAATAAACAACAAATACAATGTCGACACGTTTCAATAATACACGAGGCGTGTGATGTACATATCAATGATGATGCATGTACATAAGCATGTTTTGAAGAGAAAAAATTGATAAAACCTATTATTTTGCCAATAACAATACACAAAGCATGCTCTTTGATTACATGATGCGTGGACACATAATACACAAATCATATTATTGAGGCATAATCAAAACACAAAGCATACTTAAGACACAAGTAATACACAAAGCTTATTATTTAGAAAGAAACAATTTACAGAGAATATATCATATTCTTTACGTGCAGTAACACCTAAGCAGATGGAATCTTAAACTAGTTTATTTCGTATATTTATGTATATTTGGTATTATGTAAATATTAAATTACACCCTTTGACATAATATTTCACTTCTGAATCCGTTGAAGGTCATTATTTCGTATTCGTAATCGAATGATTTTGCGTATCAAGGTCGATAATTCTGCTGATAGAATGTCGGTCAATGAGATTGGCTGTAAGTTTTGGCCAGGTTTTTTTCTGACACAGATTAGTGATTTATCAAAACGTGGTGAATTAGTTTCATCATAAACGGTTGTATAGACTTCCCATTCCCTACGTACTTAAAATACACATTTTTCTTTTCCTTCAGTTGACTTCAAGTATCACGTTGTTTAGCTTTCCAAATCGACAACCTTAACTTTTCGTCCTTACCGCATACTTCCAAATAATTCGTTAATGACGTTTTTCTTTCATTTCTGGTGTTTCTTTAGTTCCTTTATTTTACGTTTTCTTTGTTTAATTTTGTGTCTGTGCATGTTAATGATGTGTTACATTTGTCTTTTATATCGAAAATATTTTTTTCTCAACACACTACCAGAGGTTTATTTCCGTTTGGAACCGACAGTATTTTAAATTTTGTTACATTGATATTCCATACGTACACACACAGCAATTATGTACATGCAATAAAACACAGGATATCGAAAGATAAATATATATAATACGACTATAGCAAAGGTTATTGCGCCAGCGTGATCTCATTGATCAGTGTTCCTTGTGGTTTTCAGTTTCACTTCTCATTGTCTCTAGTGGAGGATGTGATTTCATTTTGATTTATAATAAATTTACATAGTGGGTGATGCTGATGAGGCAGACGCCGCTTATCCTTCCGGAGTACCTGATAGTATACTCCTTGTACTTATAAAAATTCCATATAATACTTTGTTCATACTTTGAATGCCTAAATCTCAACAACTTAGGGTTTAAGTTACGGGTTCCTAACGCTGGTTTAATTTATTAATTTGTATTCATTTACCTTTTTTACATATGAGAAGATGCAATAGGACACAGAGAATGATATTTAACATGTCACGTGATGCCATGTCGGTGACCGGATGTGACTAGACGGCTACATCTAATGTGTAGGTAGCTGTGGAACATGTCCTGAGTTTCTTCTTTTTCCAAAAAACCCCAATTGAGTTCGACATTCCTATCTTTATAATATTATCACAGAACTTTGTTTAGGAATCATGGTAGGAATCCAGTGAAAACAATAAATCATATTAGTTAAAATAAATGTTGAAAAATCTAAGAAAGCAGCACAAACAACTAAGCAAATTTGGCATCAGTTGATCATCTCTTAAAGATAATGCACTGCTTATATTACGTGTTTGTATTATTATATGCATCATCCATATACGGTATATATGAAAATATGTATTGTGTGTTACGTTTGGTAGCCTGTCCTTAAGATAGACTAAACTACAATATCATATACAGCGTATTATCCTTCATCATTCAAGTGAGGTGTCACTATAAATGATACCGTTGGTAGTACGGTCCCAATACAAACAGAACACAATACATCTCCAGCACACACGCAGTCATACACACATAGGGAGATATTAGCTAGGTGGCATAGGACTAGTAGTTAGCGCCTGATAGGGCAGCTACTGCGGATTCCTCAAAATTGAATTGATTCATGTATATAGTTATTGTATTCATTGTATTAAATTGTATATCTATGTACTGTAAAGCGCTTTAGAGTGGTTTATGTTAGCTAGATAGGGCGCTATATGAAATGTTGTATATTTATTTTTATTATTTATCATGAAATCATTCGTTTTCAGTCTCACAGATCGTTGTTCGTTTTATCGAATACTGTGAATTTCCGTGTTTTTCGCGTTGAGGAAATAAGTGCAAGAATATTCACACGCGAATAAGTATACACCGTGAAAGGGGCACAACGCGAACATATCCACCCACCAGATTATCCGTTTTTACAGTATCTAGTTTCCATAATGAGATCAATTAAGTATGACTGTAAGAAGATCTTGTTGTTAGATTGTACACTATTCAGTTATTGCACAGCTGTTATAGTAATGATTACCTGTCATACGAGGAGTATTATTACCTGATTGTGTCGTTATGAACGTCACAGTAAGTACATTAATCATTATCATATTATAACAACGTATGACCACTGTCATTTCAATCTGTTCACGACTTTTGATTGATGTCTATATATCAGTATAGCATCAATAAGGTCCGCATCACTCATAACGGGAATGTTTGGCTATTGTTTTTGTAAACTTATCGATTTCAAGCGTTTAACTCAAATCTTGTTATGGTCCTATAACACACATTGCTATTGATGACAAACTTAATAAAGCCTGGTAAGGCTTATGTTAGTTTGTCAGCAATACAAATTTGCGTTATAGGACCATAACAACGTTTGCAAAATTATTAATTACTTATATTTACATTATGATAGAATAATTATGCTTTATTTAGTTATTTCGAACAGTTTGTAAACAGCAAATTAAGTGTTGACATCTGGAGCTACTATTGTAACAGGCTCGCCTTGTTTTAAAAATAAAACGACAATATCGTTAATATCAATATACAAAGTATATGTTAGTGCTTTCCTCTGTTCAAGATAATCGATTTGCTATTCAAAGGTCATTAACACCGATTAATCAGGGAACACATCTGTAACTGATGAGCTTAATACTATCTTCAATAGAAATATGTACTATGCAAGAAGCGTTCTGTACTATACACTACACACATGGAGGCACGTCCTTAAATGACCATAGCTGGTCATAGGACGGTAAACAAAATTAAACAAAACAAAACCAAAGTACTATACAACTCGTGCAGGTTTGGTGAAGGAATAGGCCTATTTCATCCCACTGCATTATCGTAATAGGCGTCTTACGGGGAGAGTGGGAAGGAGTAGGGGTATATATTATTTCATAAAGACGGTCGTTAAATAGCAGTTAAATTAATGTCAAAGGTAGAAACATGTGCATAGCAAAGTTTATATATCAATAACAGATGTTAGAGTGTTTATTAGGAAAGAAAAAAATTGACAAACGTTTTATAGGTTTTTATGGGTTTGGAAAATTACATATTGTGATATCATGTTATGAATGGTATTGTCAACAATCATAGCAGAACTTGCCAGTATGTATTCGACGCATCTTCGTCCAGCAGATTCCAAGTGTTGAATAGGGACAGTTAAAAATATCATACTATTTTTTAAGTGATAATTAATAACACTTGACAATTAAAATGCAAAACAATGACTTTTTTTTTTAATTTACCATATATCTTTCCTTCAAGAAACATATCGTTCCATTATCACAGACCGCCGCAATTAGTTAACATAAGCGGTTTGCGATGGGTTTTGTTTTACAATTTATAGCCCTGTTATTGCCAGTATGTAGCTGATTGTTTTTTTTGCTTTCATTACAAAATAATGACAATTGCTACATATTATCTATGTTATAACAAATTTTAGTCTTTTTATATATTCAATATTGAGCGGGTTGGGATTTATGGTATTAGTCTCTAATGAAGACAGCCTGGACCCGCTTGTATAAAACATCTCAACTTTTGAGATTTCCTGAAGTCAAAGATTTCTCATAGACAATACATTGCTTGAAATTGCCTCTAGTCTAAGATTTCTCATAGACAATATATTGCTTGAGATTTTCCTCAACTTTGAGATGTTTTATGCAAGTGGGCAAGGTTGAATAACCGATATCGTTGTAGAGTTGAATTTTCATGAAAAGTGATGAAAGATTCAAATGTGGAGGTATTGATGTCATACTGACTGTCCCACCGCAAAACAGAACACAGTACATCTCCAACACACACGCAGGTATAGACTAAGGAAACATTTTGGTTGCGAAATCCCTAAATTTTATGAATTGATATATCATTTTATAAGTTGTATATGAACTGTAAAGAGCTTATTATAGTCTAGTATGAAGGTATTTGAAATACCTTATGATAAATATATATATAGTGCCTGAATTAGATTCATATTGGAATATCGAGTTCTATTTTTAATGTCAATTGTGAACATATTAAAACAAGTAAGACTATTTTAAACATGACGAATAGCAATTGAATTATTTCATATCTATAAGAATGCATTGTTAATAATAATAAAATATGTAAGGTGGCTTAAACATACAGAATAAATCACCAAAAAATATGTAAGGTGGCTTAAACATACAGAATAATCATAAAAAGTATGTAAGGTGGCTTAAAAAAACCAGAATAAATCACAAAGAAATATGTAAGGTGGCTTAAACATACAGAATGCATCACAAAAATATATGTAAGGTGGCTTAAACATACAAAAAATGTAACGTGGCTGAATCATACAGAACAAAAGGTTGGGGGTTTTTTTGGTTATTTTTTTTCATTATATTTTCAAAATTTTATGACATATACATATATATAAATATACTACAATGTACATGGGCGTCTAGAATCGTCTTTAAATAATGTACATACTGTTAAAAATATTCTATCAAGTATCAGTTTTCGTCTA